GGCCGCGTGTCATATCGCCATTTGCAGTGGTTGCTGGGTCAAATTGAGACTCTTTAGTTTCCCACTTCGGAATAACTGAATTCAGATTGACTTGGTTAAGGTTTGGATTTCCCCGGACATGGGTCTCCTCTATATCATGTTACAATGATTTTCAAAAGTTGGATGGGCCATCCGCCTGTCATTCTTTTCCAGTGTCCTCTCCCTACCTACCGTCTACCTTCAGCAGATATAAGGCGTGCCTTTTAGTAAAATTATGGCATGGCGCTAGAAGCTAGAGAAATTGCGTTTGGTATCTGCATCTAATTACTGGCATTAGACCAATGGAGCTAATAGCGGTTCCTGCCCCGAGTGCGGTAGAGATACTGCCGCAGTCGTTTTGCCGAGGCCGACCAGCATCTCCGCAACTTTGAGTCATCGCAAGGAATCATCTAAATAGTACCTAGTTAATCACTATCAACCATTCCACACAACACGAAAATGGCTTCCAGTGATGCATCTATCGTTCCCTTTGGGGCAATGATGCGTGAGCAATTTCTCTTCGACCCTAAGTTCCTAAATCTGAACCACGGTAAGAACGCCCACTATAATAGAGCTTACCGACCGTTGTAGTAACAAACATTAACACAACCACGCCGATAAACTCCAGGCTCATTTGGAACGTATCCTGCCGCAGTTCGCACCGCCTTGCGCCATTTCCAGGATCAAGTTGAGGCGCGACCAGATCCATTCATCCGCTACACCACCCCCAAAGAACTAGATGTCTCTCGGGAGGCGGTCGCCAAGCTGTTGAATGTTCCCCGGAGCGAGTGTGTCTTCGTCAAGAATGCCACTACGGGGGTGAACACCATCCTCCACAACCTGCCATTCAAGTCAGATGATGCCATTATCTACTTTGAAACCGTCTACGGGGCTCTTGAAAAGGGTATTGTATCTTTTATCGAATCTAGGGCCGCTCAGATTCGTAAAGTCCGATATGAACTGCCGATTAGTCACGAGGACCTGGTGGAGCGCTTTCTCCAGGTTGTTCGGGAAGCGCGGAGCGAGGGATTGAATGTGAAGCTTGCTCTCTTTGATGTGGTGACTAGCTTACCCGCTGTGCGGTTCCCTTTTGAAAGGCTCACTGAGGTTTGTCGAGAAGAGGGCATTTTGAGTTTGATTGATGGTGCACACGGTATTGGACAGCTGCCGTTGGATCTTGGGAAACTGCAGCCGGACTTCTTCACGAGTAATTGTCATAAGTAAGTTTGCTGAATTTCGTTCCCGATAACCCTCCAAGAGTGGGACTCATATGCATAAACTCGATAGATGGCTGTTTGTCCCCCGGAGTTGCTGTGTGCTTTATGTCCCAAAACGCAATCAACATCTTATTCGAACCACCATTCCCACCTCCTGGGGCTTCATCCCGTCCGAAGACTCTCCCGCGACGGCTCCTTCCGTCATGAAGAGTGACGATTCTTCAAAGAGTGCATTTGAGAGTCTTTTCGAATTCGTTGCTACCAATGATGATACGCCCTACTTCTGTGTTCCTGCTGCGTTGGAGTTCCGCAAGACGGTCTGTGGTGGTGAAGCCCGTATCTACGAATACCTAGAAAGATTGGCAAATGAGGCTGCTGATATTGTTGCTGCGACGCTTGGAACCGACGTTATGGAGGAAAGGGGCCTACAACCGGGGGAGCAGAGCAATCTCAGACGATGCGCCATGACCACTATCCGGTTACCATTCACTTTTAGGGAGGATTTGGCAGCTTCTGATTCTTCTGCTACGCTTTTGAAAGCTGATGAGGCTGGCGCAGCGGTCAGGTGGTTCCAAACCACTTTGGTGGAGGAGCATGGCACATTCGTGCCCCTTGTTGAGCACGGGGGCTGGCTGTGGGTGAGAATTTCTGCCCAGGTTTATCTTGAGCGGAAGGACTTTGAGTGGTTGGCTGAAGTCCTCAAAGTGCTGTGCCAGCGATACAGGACTGAAAGATGTTAGCGAATACAAATGAGGCGTGGGAGAAAGTAGGCCATTGAGCGTTCGGTAGCAGCTTTACATAGATCTGGAAGCGTTTGTATTTCCAGCCACATTCCTAACTGTGGAAGTGCAGTACACCATACGAGGGACTAAATTCATATATACCGATCTACGTAATTATTTTATGTAAGCTATCAAGTAGATGGATGCAACCGTCTTTCTGCTTAGACTCTAACGAACTCCAGCCATTCCAATCAGATTGCCATATTTCAGCGTATCAATCGTTGCGTTATACTGCTCCGACGAAGGCGACGTGGTCAGGATCATCGCCGAAACTCCATCATCGCCGCCCGTGACAAAGTGTTCGCGCAGGACCATCGTCAGCGGCGATGACCGGAACGGAATCCGGGCCTGCTTCCGGGCCATAGCCCGAATGACTTCTTTCAAGGCAAGAAGATCAGTGTTGATCTGTCTGCTCTCCTGCTGCTCCTGAGGCGTCTGTTTTGTCTGCATTGTGGACACGGAACCCTTGTCGTGACAGTACTCTGAGCCGGCAAGATCCACAAACACCATCTTTCCACCCAGGCAGGCATGGGGACAGGTCTTCTTCACTTCTAAAACATACTCTTCCGCCTTCTGGACCCGCAATTCGTATTCGGCTTTCTTTGCCTCGGCCTCATCTATCGCTTTCTGATTGAGTTGGTAATCCGGATTCGGAACATACTTTCCATCCGGTGTCTGAATTATGGCCTTCATGTTCTCCTCGATGTAGATATCAGTTGCGCGTTTTCCGATCAGTACCAGTTCGGATTGTCGCTCAACGACGGCATCCTGTGCATCGAGTAGTTCTCTCGTGACAATCTCAACTTCAAACACAGCATGTGTCCGGGAACTCTGGTCATGGATTGTCGATGTGCCCGTCGCCCTACTCTGGATGCCTGCCAGCAGCTGAGCATGGAACTCCTCAAAAGTAAAGCATGGCTTGGTAACGATAGGCCGCACGCGGACTTTCCCATCGGCGAGGGCTTCCGTCTCCCCGCGAACGTGGGTTTTCCCGTCAGCGCCTTCGCGGATATGGCACTTGCATCTGTCGTTGAGCAGGTCAAAGGCAATGTTTTTCCGCAGCTCGTACATGCGGAGGCCTAGGAGAAGCGTCTCATTCTCCTTGGCATTGTCATTTAGTTGGTATAGATGCTCGTAGAGCGTTCTTGCAGCTGATAAACAGAGTCCGAACTCGTCTGGCTGTTCAAAATCATACCCGATGATGGTGTGTGATTTCCCACTGCCCGAGTGTCCGTAGGCGAAGAAGTTGCAGTTTTGCCCGCTCAATACCTGGGGGAGAGTGGGTGCAACGACATGTTCGAAGACAGTTCGGTTGGAGTCATCTGCGTTGAATATCTCGGTAAAAGCTGAATCGCTTTTCCAGGGGCGAGAGAGTTTCTGGGATGGTGGTGGTGCTAATGCGATCGTGGTGTTTTGCCCGGGATTGGAGGCCTGTGTTCGAGTGATTTCAGGGGCAGACACTTCCGATGGCAGTGGAGGACGCCAGCGAGTGAAGACTTTGATGGGGGGCATTCTCAGATCACTTTTTTTTTGTTAATTTAGAACGAATCTTAATACTGGATTGAAAGTACCCTCAACCCCCGATCAAAGTAGTCTAGCTTGTACCCAGCCATATTACTAATCAGTCTGCCTTGAAACTGGCCGGCTATACGGGGCTTTGACAGGCTCTCCTAGACGGCGGGGTCAGTGCGTAAGATCCACATCTACACCAGTCCGTTGTGCTCATGACAACGGGTTACAACTGAATCCTCTCTTCTTTCTCGACCATGAAACGATGGTCATACCTCGAGCTAGCAATATTTATCTGCGACAATAATTGCTTGCGCGCTTTGATATAGAAATAAATATTTAGGGTTCATGCACTAGTCCCTCCAGTCACTGAGTCACTGGCCCACATCTGATATTACGTTTCTCTTGATAGACGTTTCTTTTGCTGCTCGAGAAGCATCAGCTGCATCTTAAGATCTTGCAGTGCATGATCGTCACGCGTCAGTTCTGGAGCAGTGAGTGACCCGCCAAGCTCATCCTTGATTTTCCTTCTCTTTTGTGAGCTAGCGGCACTCTGTTCATCGCTGACAGTCGAAGAGCACCGACCCTGACAATGGCGAACGACACAATTGTAGAACTCCCGCCACGAGCGAACGGATGTATTGCAAATTAGACAGAAACGAGGATGAGGCTCTTCTTGTCGGGACTTGTCTATTTCCTTTCTGCTTAACCGCCTTCCATGTTTCGTGGTATAATGATGATGAGCTTGGTCAGCTCTCCTGGCAATCGGCTTGCGTGCAATAGCAGCAGGGCAATGAGGATCAGTGCAATAATAATGAAACTGAACGGCATGTTTATAACTTATGTGTCGTCTGAGTACAGTTCTCTCTGTATACGAGCGGCTTTTCTCAGGACACAGCCGGCAATACCACTCAGAGTGGAGGGAGGGCACAGTCTGAGGCGAGGCGATTTCCGGCGACAGTGGCCGTCGTTGACTGTCACCATTTGTTGGATAAAACCCGGCAATCTTCAAGCTCGGCTCCCCAAGTGGTTCCTTCTGCTTGTCTTGACCTCGAATTTCATGGCCATATGACCATGTGGCGCCTGGAGTGTGTGCACGGGAACCTGGGTTTCGAGGTTCGTTGTTCTGAAAATCACCCTGTTTCACAGCAGCTCCACCGGTAGCACTGGGGGCGTGTGGGTGTCTATGAGCAATTCTGCTCACAAGGAGTTCGACTACTGTCTTATGACCGTAATAGGATGCCCAGTCGAGCGGGGTTTGACCTGTTTGATCGAGTGAGGATACTTCAACGCCTTTCTTCAATAGGAGCTTGACCACTCTCTCGTGACCATTATCTGCCGCCCACGATAAAGGAGTCCGCCCAATCTCGTCCTTGGAGTCTGGATCAACAGAGTGTACTAGCAGGATCTGTACCACTGCCTCGCAGCCGTTATAGGCCGCCCACGAAAGAGGGGTTCGACCATCCACATCCTTGGAGTCTGGATCAACACCACCTTCCAGCAACAATTGCACAATTTTTATATGACCTTTGTATGCGGCCCATGATAGAGGGGTTCGATCTTCTGCGTCTCTAGAATCTAGATCTGAATCAATCTCCACTAGGAGCTTCACCACTCCCACAAAACCATTCGAGGCGGCTAATGATAGTGGAGTACGGCCGAAGATATCTCTCGAGCCTAGGTCAAGACCTTTCTCAACCAGAAGTTTGACCACTCGCTCATGGCCATTGCATGCTGCCCACGCTAGTGGGGTGCGACCATCAATATCTCCTGAATCTGACTTGATACTTCTCTCCAGCAGGTGCTGAGCTACTCCCACGTACCCATTAAAGGCTGCCCATGTCAATGGGAGTCGACCAAACGAGTCGATAGCTTCAGACTGATTCCCCTGCCGAATCATGTATAGCACCACATTTTCTAGCCCAAAGTATGATGCAAGATGGAGTCCTGTGAACAATTTGGGAACCTGTTGGCTATAATTCCAGTGAGTTGGAAATTGTTTGCGAGCGAAAAGGCCTTGCACGCAGGCATTAAGCCTGGGTGTATCTTCAAGCAGGGCTACTATGAAGCTTATTCCCGTTTGTTGTGTCCGAACATGATGACCCCAGTTCCTCGCTGCATAGGAGAAAAGGGGGTATGTGTCTAATCGCGCTTCAAAATCCGCGTCTGTGGAACAGGGGCCTGCTTTGAAGGGGTCGAAAGAGAGGTATGTGACACAAGCTGTCGCAATGCCGTGATGTGCGTTTGAGAACCACCTGGTCCACGTTCGTTGGAAGAATTCTTGTGCTGTATAATGTACCAATCGAATGACATCACTTTCTTCGTCAACTGTGACCAAGCCTGCACAGACAGAGATAATGTCATCCAGGAACGGAATGTTGTCTTTGTCGAATTCTGACTCCGCTTCTACAGCAAGTGCATGTTGAAGCTCTAATGTATTGAGCGGCCTCATTGCACAGTTGATCCACGATAGAACATCGTGTGCAAGTTTCCGGGAATCTATGTCCTGCTCTTCAATTCGCTGCATCACATCTTCGTATGCATCATTGTATGCTTCAGACCCCTTTGGAAGGCTTTTCAAAGCCTCCTTTACTCTTTTGGTGGTTTTTTTCGATTTCACAGCGTCGAAGTGAAGCTGTGCTAGCAGGAACCTAGCTATAAGTTAGCTTGTTCAGCCCTTTCCAAACCAGGGAAGTTACTGACATTCCATCGACAGCTTTCGTGATTTCAGTTTGGATCTCCTCACTGTGTGAGGCCAATAGCCTCGATTCACATTGCAATATCCTACTTCTTAAATATTTCTGAACATCTTGATCATGTGCGCGGATTTCTAGTGTCGTGCAGTTTTTGAATCTCTCAGTGATCTGCGGAATGAATCTTGAAGTGGCGAATATATTTCCACCGCAAGTTGCCTGGAAGTTCAGAATCTCCTTTATAAATCTTGTTCGACAGTCATTAGATGTCTGGCATTCATCGAGCGCATCGATTATAATAAAGACTCTCGAGTACATAGCACCCACAGATCGGAGTGTCGTTGCAATTTCGTCGAATTCTGGTCGAGTCCGTCTATGTCTATGACGATCATAGAGGCTGCGCATAATATCTGGGAGGGATGGCCTGCATTGACTCAATTGCTTTAGGAGACTTGTTATTAAGTCTTCCGCGCTCTGCTCGTTTTTCCGGCGAAAGTCACAGTAGACATACGCAATCCCAACGGATTTGTCATGTAGGAATCGGGCAGTAATGTCATCAATGACTGCTGCCGTCAAGATTGTTTTTCCTGCGCCGGGAATACCGGGACAGAATAACGTCTGCTTGTTTGAGCTTATCCATGTCTGGTATATTGCAGAGTCTAAGAACCACTGCGCAGTTCCTGACTGTCGTCTCTTCAAGATGTCACTGTGTTGAGGACCGTAGTCGATTGGTGTAAGCCATTCAAGGACTTCGAGTTCTTCATTTCTATCGAAGTTCGACTTCATTGTTTCAACGTCGGCCTGGGTTCTTGTTACACAATCCAAGACTGAGGGGCTTATTAGAAAACAGCTCCGAACGGGACAGGGGGTCATGGGATAACTAACCGTCGTCAAGCATGTCTTTCACTGGGCGCTCCTCATTAAGATCACTTGGCTGGACATACTCAAGAAGCTCCTTTGCATACGCTGCTGCAACAGCTGCAGCATACTCCTGCCAAGCTTTATTCTTATCTGAATCCGCATAATCGCAAATGCCCCGGATCACAACACACGGAAAGTTGTTCATCAACCCAGCTGCTTCCATTTCAACACACAACACATTGCCGCCGAGGCTCTTGTTTAGATTATCACGGAAATGAGCGTCCTTGATAACCTGGTTACCGGACGCTATTAAACCGTAGTGCACATGTCCTTCTCCGTGTTGGCTTTCTCTAGCGCAATTGTCGGAACCGGACAAAGGATCCACAAGAGAATCACATCTGGTATACTTTGGCATCAATCTAGGCCATTTCTGCTCCATGTCATCCAAATACTGATATATCCTGGGTCCGCTCATCTCATGCATCGTTTCTAGCTTCGTCAATGCCGTCAGCAGTGCCGTCGGGGGGTTATTGAGTATGCCGGTTCTTTTGAAGCCACCCTCTACTTCTGCCTTGCCCAGATCCCACTGGACCACCCCTGAACACTGATCAACGGGCGTACCGACCACGACGTCCCCGAGTCTGACTTTTGGTGGAATGCCGCCGCCTATGCCGACCAGAAGGCCAACCTTAATGGATGGGAAAGTGCCTACCATCCGAGTTGCAACCGCCGATGCTGAATTCGTGCCGTACTGGCCTTTCGGTAAGCAGGCTATAACGATGTTGTGCCTCCCAATGCACCCCAGGGTGTAAGTATTAGGGTCGCTTGGTGGTTTTGGTAGATGTGGATGGATTTCATCTAGCATTGCTGTCGCAGCCGTCTGCTCCTTTGGCAGCGCACATACCCACCCGACCGTGTAACTGTTGTGTTCTAGTTTTATTGCATGAGGATTTTCGTTGACACTGGAGGCCAGTGCCTTGCTGGTAGCAAGTTTGTTGTCACCACTAAAGCCATCCTGCCTCGACGACATATTGGGGTCGGTCTTTGGGTTATTGGAGACAAAGGACCATTCGTGCCTTGGAGCGTAATCTGAACCTGGACCCGTGGAGCTGATGTGGTATTCAGGTTAATGTCGCGACGCTTCGATGTTTAGAAATAAGGAAACAAGATGTAGCGTACAGCGATGAGTAGCGGACTTTCTAATAGGTAAATGGTATGGACGACGAGACCTGGGGTAAGGTAAGGGGAAAGTGACTGCTTCCTGTTGCGGTGGGGGAAGCGGCGGGGGCGCAGCTCAGCCGCATCGGACTTACAAGGCTGGGGGGAAATCTACCACAGCCTTACATGAGCATAATTCGGAATGAATTCCGCTTCTACAAATTATATCCAGCAACCGTCAGTGATGCTGCAGGGATTCTTTCACGATATTCATCTCACGTTGACTTGGTGGTACTGAATGGATGGAAACCTACAAACGGGATGCCTCCTCCCATACTACTTATCAACCCAATCCTTCGGCAATTTATTATATGAATCACTTGGTTTGCAACTGTGTTCACTTCAAAAGCCCGGTCCGGCTTCTCAGACAGGTGATCGAATACAACGAGTTGTTCGCCAATTCGACCCAAGCTATACGACACGTCGTTCATGAATGGCAGATGAGAAACAGTCTTGATACGCCCTGACGGGCAATGTCCTGGTGGCGCCGTTTACAAGACAGAGCAACTCACCCGCTCCCACAAAAGCAGAAAACGTCTCATCGGTCTCTTGCATGATGTTATTGAGACAGAGCCCCAGCTTCATCTTCAACAGGTGACTAGTAGCGGACATCAGGAAATTATATTGATCCCTTGAGCGATGCCGCCAGGTTATATTCAGTTGACATCCAGCTTACATATATTCCATATCTAGTTCACATCCCCTTCATCGCCCCTTCAAAAGCTACGCTGCCATATCTCTCATCACAAACCCACTATGACTCGTAACATCTCCCTCTTCGACCATAAAATTCGACGTGCCCGTGTAGTATGCCCTCCCCTCCACGCGCACCACCACCGCATCCTTGGCCGGAGCATTCCCACCCACCACCCGCAATCCCGTCTCTACAATCTCAGCCTCAAACGCGTCCGTCTGAAAGTGATTGGAGACAAGCGAGTTGTAAGCCCACCGCTGACCGACCGCTCTCTCACCCTTCGCATGCGCCAGCGCCATGCGAGCCGTGACACATGAGCCTGTCGGCGACCGATCAATCTGATTTTCGGCGAAGAAGCACAGTCCAGTCTCGGCTCCAGCTACACCGTCTGGCCTGTGTCCGACATTCGTGTCCACCAGCATGATGGAGTATAGGTACGATAGCCTCTTGTCTTCTGGGTGCTGACAGGCGGCCAGAATATCGGGATGGGCTTCAAGATACGCTTTTAGTCTTTTCATCACCTGTGATAGTGAATCAAGATCGACCTTTCTCAGTCCCGTGGATGCGTATCCCAGCTCGTGCATTTTAATCAACGCGTAGAAGGCTCCTCCATAGCTGACATCAAGGGTGATGCTCTCACGGCCTTCAAGCTCGCTCCACCGTAGTTCAGGCGGAACGGGAATGGTGAGATCGATAGCAGCAGCGTAACCTGGTGTTGACAAGAACGAGACCGCCCGTGACGGATCGGACTTGATCCCATCGGCCGTGCCCTTGACCGGGACGGTGATACGAACCAATCCGCACGGCGCATGCAAGTTAACGACAACTGTTTGCGACACAGCATCTATGACCAACTCATTTCGCTTCGGGAAAACAGTCACATCATGCGTATCAACAAGGAATCGGCCCAGTGCGATGGTTGCGTGGCCACACATGGTGGAGAAGCCACCGTTGTGGGTGAAGAGAACACCGATGTGAGCTTCACCGGATTCGACCAGTTCAGTGGTTGGTCGGAGAATGGCACCGTACATGTCGTAGTGACCACGAGGCTCGAGCATGATTCGCCTGCGGAGGTGGTCATATTGATCCCGGGCTTGGTCGCGCTGAGTGAGCAGTGTCCCGCTGAGGGGAGGAAAGCCCGCGTAGACAATGCGGGTGGGCTCGCCGGTAGTGTGCATGTCGATGCATTTGATGACTTCGCCGCTGAAGGCGGACTCTATAGTGTGGGCTAGATCCATAGTGGGAGTGCCAGAGTTTGTTAGTGTTAGGCCAACCTGTGAGGAATAGGACCACTGCAACTGAAGGGATACATGGGCAATAAGTAATGAATGGCTTCGGCTGGCACCCCGAGCCTGGCGTGGGGCGGGCATGCGGCCCGGTTCACAGGCGCCACTTAGCCGGTTATCAGGCTTTCTTGGTACAGAACACGCTTTGTGCATGCTGTCTTGCTCAGATTTTTTTAGACATGACGCTCATTCGAAAATTAGGTTTCGTTCTATTATATAGCCCATCAAAAAACCTTGACCATCGGGGTTATGAGATATGCAATGTGCGTGGCGAGCATGCCAGCCGTGTGATATCTTATATTCACATCTTGTTCACTAGCCATGATGGACGATGGTCAATTGGCCGCCCATGGCATGCAGTCTCAACACACCGGGCCAGGCTGCCCAGGTAGAACTTTCGCCCTGTGAGTCCAGGGCCATAATGAGCATATTTTCCAGAGTTGGTCATGATGGCGTTGGAAGACTGTGGGATGATGGGTTCTGTAATCATGCACCAGCAGGTATCAGTGATGAATTGGACACCGAACTTCTCCAGCTCCTGGACAAACCCGGCTTGATCAGCCAAGTCATATGTTGCACGACTACAGGTTACCACCACCGCCAACCCCTCGCATTTCGTACGCCCCTGGCATAGAGTAGCCAGTCTTCGGATTTCTATCAGCGAGAAGTGTGGGTTACCAAGAGAAATGAGGTCCACGGCTTGATCGTCTGATGCGGTGTTCAGTGTGTCCCAACAGGGTATCAGATCCTCCTTCTTCACATCAAGACAAGGTGGGTGGGCTCCGGGTCGAATGGTGGCTTCTATGGTCTTCGCTTCCGGTGTAATACCAACCATGTGGAACATTGGGGCACTTGAGACGGTCGCAAATGCGGCCCCAAACGCCTTGAGGTCATCCCGATTCGGGGCCAGGGATTCAAGGCCCAGGATCACCGGAATCTGATTGGTTGCCAGGGTCCCTATATGGTACCCGAGGACAGGATAGAAGGAGTCATCGACATGCAAGTTCTCGGTATCTATTAACCGAACAATCAGTGTAGCTTGGCGGTTTGTATCAATATGCGGTCCTCCTTTGGGGGCGCGGCCAGTGAGAGCAATGGCGATATCGAGAAAATCGGGATACTTCATCGTACGCGCCCCAAGCACACTGTTGGCATACACCACGGCATTGGATTCTGCCCAAGCAATTTGATCTCCGAGTTTAGGGGCGCTGTCCAGCTGGTAGGGGCTGCATGTAAAAGTTGGCCGCGCACCCATGTCAATATACGCTTTGGCCAACCGGTCGGCCGCTTCCCCAAACGCCATATCTACGCCTTGGGCGCGCCATCGCTTTTGGTCGACAGAGATGGAGTTCAGCGTGGTCGGAACAAGCACCTGACCTCCCAGATCGCGCAGCCTCTCTGCAAACATTAGCGATCCAGGTCCGGTATAGATACAGCCATCGACGTGAACCTGGGTGACCGGGATCAATTCGCGAGCCTCTAGTAACTCGGACATTCGCAGAACGATCTGCATGGCCACGCGAGCGGCTTCTCCATATTCGCCCTGAATCAATGCTCTATCCACATCGGACAATTGCACCTTTGTGGTCAGCGCCAGTGGTGTTTTGGAGTGATAGTCAGGCAGTTCATGCAATGTCCCGGGTAACTCCTTGTCGAAGATGTAACCATCACCGACCGTGATGTAAGTATCATGCAGTCCCAGCACCCGCTGAAAGTCGTCTGCATTCAGTGTTATCACTGGAATTGCCCTGCCGAACATCTCCTCCGCGACCATTACCCCCAAGGTGAGGATATCCTCGCGGCGCTCAAAGAGTATTGCCTTAGGTCCGCGGTTGTTAAGTAGGAGTTCAAGCATCACCCCGCTGCCCGAGCAGGACCCACGACCACCTGGAATGGCGAGGATGCGACCTTCCAGAGAGTGGCCATTCAAGGGGTGGTGTTGGTCAATCACCCGGCCTGTTTGGGGGTCGACGCCACCCCAGAAACTCAACTCCACGTGGCTGGCAATCAGCCTTCCAGAAGCCGTTCCTTTCACGTGGGGAACTCCATGGCAGAGGGGCGGGGGGGACATGCTTGTAGGAAGAACTGTCATTTTAAGATCGCACCGGGGAAGCCATTCATTTGGTAGGACGGTGTTCTTTGAGTAACAACGAGGACCATGCCATGATGAGGATGGTCAAAGCTGGGGGAATCTTTGGTTCGGTGATTCGGCAAAGGAGGCCGCGATAGCAGCCTCAGGCCATCGATAACCAGTTACCCGCTCGGGAAAGTCATCCGAGGACTAGTTTTACTTCATAATGCATGCTTCAAGAGCTTACCTGTTATCCAGACACTCGAATACACGCAGTGACAAATACGGTGGTTCTGTCCAGAATCGCTGCCGTTTCCCGCTCGAAGTACTCGATGCCATCATTGAGGTCTGGGGCTCTCGAGCAGTTGGGATCAAGATCTGCCCTACAGATGACTATAATGACACCATGATCTTATACGAAGAAATGAAAGAGACTTACGCATACTTTATCAAGGAGCTAATGTGTCGTAATCTCGCTTTTATCAACTTATCGCGTCGAGGCTGTGATGTGGGGCGGGAAACCGATGATTATTTCAGGTCCCGACCCAGGCCTCAAGGGAAAGAATTGCCTCCAAAGTACGAGCCTCTGACGAACTTTGGCGCTCTCATCAAGTATCCTGGAAGTCGCACTATGCTCATGATGAACCACGAGTACACGGTAGAGGAGGCAAGAAATTTAATTTAAAGAGAGAAGATTGACCTCGTGACATTTGCACGACCATTTATCTACAATCCGGTGGGTTTGACAATAGCGTTCGTCAACTTTGGTACTAGCTTACATGGGGGAATCCAGGATCTCATAAGCCGGATTAAGAAAGGTGTCCCTCTTGCCTCGATCACTCGCGGTGGTAAAGTCAACTATGGACCATCTCAGGATCCCAATGAGAATTACAATGATTGGCCGACATTTGGAAGGGAGGGTGAGGTTATTGCCGGTTAGACAACCTGCTCCCAGTTCACGGAGGTGCGTCGGAGAACGGTGATTAAAATCATCGCATGCTACAACCTAGATAACAGCCAAGGAGAAGAAAGGGAGTTGTCTAAACACAAATACCAGCACCTTCACGATAGATGGTAGTATTAATTTGCATTATCGCTTGTATAGTACTATGTATTTCCCAACCTCTCATATCATTTGTAGTGATAACGATATATACATATATATAGGGTTGATAATAGCAAGAGGCTGAGATTGTAGAAGGAAGCGCCACCAATATAAAATGAGGAGATTGGAAGAACATGATTTTCTCGGATCACATGCGAACAATTCCAGATAGGGTTCTGTCTAACTTCTTAAATGAAGCCGAGCAAGTAATAGTGTAGATGGATGCCTGTCTGGAATGGTTTGATTTTCCAGTCGGCGGGCCCGAGCACGCCGCTCCACTCGGATGTCTCAAACAGAGCCAATGGCCGATAGCATCCTTCCTTAGTGGCTCGATAGTTGGGAACGCGTGGCTTGATTTTAATTTTAGCATAATCTTGAAAGTGACACGAGTACAGCCTCCAATTTCCGGAGAAAAGCACAAGCGGAGGCTGCTTATATCTTCGCATCTGCCCAGTATCCTGCCATGGGGGCCAACGGTTTTTCCCCTTGCGTCGCGCCCTTCTGACCCCTTCAGTCACTCGTTTGGTTGCCTATAGCATTCATTAATTTCATATTCAGTTCTTGTTCTCATTTTCTCCTCCAATTGAGCCAAAGTCTACTCCGCGACCATGCGTTTCGTCATTCCCTTCCTCACCCTCAGCTCACTGGCTGCGGCCATCAGCATCACCGAGCCGGCCCTCAACTCAACCTACGCCGCCGGTTCCACCATCACCGTCAACTGGACCACCGTTGACACCGATCCCACCACCTTCAGCCTCTATCTCTGGAATTTCGTCTACTGGCCACCCTCCTATGTTCCCCTGGCGATTGACATTCCGACCTCCGACCTGTCATACCCCGTGCAAATCCCCTGCGGCACCGATCCCGAATGGGGCTACCAGATCAGCGGGATCAACGGCACCAACGTCTATATCATCTACGCCCAGTCCGAGAAATTCTTCGTCTCCGACGCGGCCAACGCGACCGACTGTGTTGATACGAGTATTACCGCACCAGGAGCATCTGCTACGTCTACCTGCCCTGCAGCATCTACCGTTTATGTCACGGTGAGCCCTACCGCGTCCAGCTCTGCTTTCTTCCACCACAGTCATCACCATGATCATCATCTGCTCCATCACCACTCCTCCCATCTCCCGGCTCCTTCATCCAGTCCTGCTCCTGCCTCCTCCAGATCTGTCAAGCCAGGAATCGTGCCTAAGACTATTGGTTGGTGTTCAGACTATTCCCACCCTGTGACCTTGAACAAGGTTCCTACGCCGACGGTAGCATTGTATGAAACGGAGACGGCGTCCCAGGCCAGCACTCAGGATGTCAGCTTCGTGACGGCCACCACTACCATGAGCGTTGTCGACAGTGCCGGGAGCGACGGATGTTCGTTCTCCTGAGGGGTGATCCTTTGAATGCCTACCTGCTCCTTGTGTGATCAACCTGTGATGTGAACCTCCTACAATGTAAGATTATATACAGAGACATAGTGCAACTAATTGGCAGCCTGTGTACATTAAAAATTCCATATATACTGGCTTACATAGTACTTCTAGAGAAAGTATTTTGTAAATACTGTTAATTATTTTTGATTTCTGAAGGTCGTGCGCATCTCAGCGGCCAAAATCCTCCCAAATTTGTCCCGTGGTAGTATAGGAATCCCCTTCCACACTAAACCACACTGACTGCCAACCAACAAACCCGACGTATGCTATGTTGCATCTATGGATTAATCCTGCACACCCGCAATCATGACCTTGAACACATCCGACCGTCCTGCCTTGACCAACTCAAACGCCTCCTCGGCCTTCTCGAACGGAAACCGGTTCGTGATCAACCGCTTCACATCAATCTTGCCCTTGGCGATCAGATCAATAGCCGCCGGGTAGCATCCGGTCAGATAACGGATCGATCCCTTGATGGTCAACCCACGCGTGCACACCGCCGTAATGGGGAACGTGATGTTCTCCTTGCCCATACCGGCCTGCACGAACGTAGCTCCTCGGCGGGCGGCATAGATACCCAACTGGACACACGGCTCAGCACCAGAGCACTCCAGCACCACATCGGCGCCTTCTCCCAGTCCCAGCTCCTCCTTCAGCTGTATGGCCACCCGCTCCGCGTGCACCATGGGGTCTGTGCCTGGCTCGTCCCGCGAGGGCATGAACGTGTGATCGACGCCGTACGACTTGGCGACTTCGAGTCGGGATGGAACCACATCCACTCCGATGACGGACTTTGCTCCAGCGGCCTTGGCCACGGCCTGGCAGAGTACGCCGATCGGACCACAGCCAAGAACCAAGACGGTCTGATGGGCTTGCAGGTTAGCTGTCTTGGTGATGGCCACGGCGACCGATACTGGCTCAACCATGGCTGCTTCCTCGAGAGTCATGTGGTCTGGCACCTTGTAGCAATAGTCGGCGGCGTTGACGTAGTATTTGGCCAGTGTGCCATCCCAAGGCGGGGTCGCCGCGAAGATGGTGTCGCCGCAGAGGTTATACGACCCACTGCGGCAGTAGTCGCAACGACGACAGGGTACGCCGGGTTCCATGGCGACGCGATCGCCCGGCCTGAGGTGTCGGACTTTGTCACCGACTTCGACAACTACGCCGGAGGATTCGTGGCCAAGGACCATGGGTCCGGTGAGGATGAAATCGCCGATGCGACCGCGTTGCCAGCTGAACTTATGTCAAAGACTCTGTCCATGATAGGATACATGAGAGGACCCATACTAGTGAATCTGGGCGATACGTTAACCTGGAACTGTGTAGACCACTAACTGTGAGGATAAAGGAGGGAAAAAAGTCATACATCACTTCCACAAATACCTGTCTGTGCCACATGGACAATCACATCGTGAGGGTCTTTGAGGATGGGTTTGGGCCGGTCTTCAATGACGACGTCTTTGATGTCGCGCAGGACAAATGAGGGGTTCTGCCCCGCGCATCAGTTTGGCATATTGTGACAGCAGAGTTAGACTCACCTCCATTGGTGCTGATGGATCAGTTTCGATGGTTTTGTAGTGATATTCTTGCTTCCTTAAGGTGCCGCGAGGCTTGATGCTTTCTCTTCCAAACCAGCCGTTGGTCTGGTGGGAGAGCACCATCTTCTACCCCTCATCTCGTCATGTGCAAAGATCGTTTAGGAAGACATGTACTGGAACGGGTATGTTTGCCGGGGATAGTTCGCGTGCAGGCCCCTTGTAGATCACTCCTGCTTACGACGACCCTCTCTATATCCTTAGCCCTGTAGCCATTTCCCATCTTTATACCTACTGAATCTCTGCGACTACGCTGCGCTTTCTGCTTTAGCTTTTCGAGTACGCACGCATGCTTTGCAAATTGCGACTGAATACAATCATACGACAGTACCCTCTTCGACTGGTCGTAAGGAGAAATCCCCGACTTATACTGTATCTAATCACCTGGATTTCCCAAACAGGCGATCGCCTAACCTTCCCAATCAAGCAGCTCTGCCGATTCCTACTCTTTTTCTCTTTAGTGGGATGACAACATAGCCTGTTTGACATGTCATTTCTCATCCAGTACCCAATTATCAATGTCGTCGCGTCCTATCCAAACAATCCAAAGATCACATAAAGCGTAGAATGCAACTGATTAGGTGTCAATTGTAGCCAGGAACCACAGTTACTTGTAAATAGGTAGATCAATCTGCACGCAGTCTCGGCGCCTTAGTAGGCACCAGCAGCCAGCTGATACCCGTAGCGCACAGTAGAGCCAATAACATGGGCTGCAAAGCCTTGACACCGGTGTGGGAAGAGATGATGCCCGTCAATACGGGGAAGAGCGATCCTCCAATCTGCCCCAGCACGAAGACGAATGCTGGATACATAGAGTTAATACGTTGCTTGTTTGGATTACCATGGAATCCACGTACCAATCCCGGAGGAACGAATGTTAGCCGGAAAGATTCTAGATGCGACCGATATTCCCTGTGTGCGATGTTAGACGGTGAATGCTATTGTAGAATATAACAGAACTCACTGTTGCGAAGAAGGGCCCCGAGAAGAAGCCCAACAAGCAAATGGCCATGGCCTCAACGCCTATATTGGGCACCCTATAGTATGTGTCAGATAATGAAGATGTGGAGAGCAACACTGGGCGAACTAACAGCCAGAACACCAGCTCTAACCCAGCACACAGGGCAGCGTATATAAATATCATGCGACGCTCTCCTAGACGATAAGTAGGTTCGGCTAGAACTAGTCGACCAAGAAAAGCTCCGCCATAGAACCCCGTCGGGATATAACCCATCTGGTGCACATCACCATGCCGAACGCGAACAAGGTACTCGACAATCCATCCTAACCACTTTGAGTCTCTTTTTCACTCTACCGAATATGGGTTCACTTACCACCGGCCGTGATGGCCGCTCCCAGGAAAAAGAAAAAATAGAGACTTGTCAACCAGACAGCTGGTACACGAAGTGTATCTTTGATCTCCCTTACGGCACGGGTACCACGACTGTTCTGACCCGAAGCCCGCGGGTCGTCGCTTTGAACGGCTTCTGAGGAATGATGGACGGACATGCTATCGCGGAAGGCTATCAATACCAGGATCAGGTTGATTAACCCCAAACCAAGTGGAAAGACATAGAATAAATTCCACTGTGACTGCCTATTAACAGACGCTACAGCGGTAGCCACCAATGGCCCGACGAGACACCCAGCCATGTACATGGCATGGATAAAGCCGAGCCATCGGTGGGCGGCCTTGACCGCAGCGACATATGTATTGGCATGGGTGTCATTGAATGCTTGTCCTAGACTAGCTAGGAAGAAAGTTATAGCATACAATGGGAACGGCGGAAGCCAGGCACGCAGGACATGGGCTAGCACCTGAAGCGCAGCCCCCAGAGCGAGCATAGAACCTAATCCAAGGTATTGGCAGGCGGTGCTATTGATTAGGGCGGCCACCAACCAGCCCACGAGAGTTGTAACATAACTAGCATAACT